AGTTTATACTAATAAAATTATAGAATATTATAGTGAGGGAGATTGAGTTTTGCGCTTCTTCCATTAGTACTCCATGCTAACTTAATTCTTCTGTTGATTTCTGGTAGTAGAGATCCCGAGCTGTGTATTAGTTGTCCCAAATATATATATATTCTTCTTCTATTTTCACTGTTGTGTTATTAGAATGTTTTTTCTGTCTACTAGTTCGTTGTACAGGGTGTCCCATTTTGGTTGAAATCATACGGTATCTCCGTTATTAGTGAAGATAGAAGGGTACGGTTTGCACAAACCTGTCTCACTTTTTTGTCAAACGGAAGATGCCGTAAACAAAATTTTCATAGCCATCTTCGTTTCCGAGCTACAGGGTCTTTTTGAAAATTTTGCAATTTGGGACACCTCCTGTATCTCTGTTATTGTTAAAGCTATCGAGAAGGTGAAAACTGTTTATTGTAGAACTTTTTACCAAAAAAATATTTTTGAAAATATGAACTAAAGTTATGTTTTTTTAAATGGAACACCCTGTATATTTATAAATCATATGATCTGTCTTACCATAAGCTTCTCAAAAATATATATCACTCTATATTTATTTTCACTATTTACTGCAATATTTAAAAGTTTTTATTAAAAGATCATATTTATTAGTAGGCCATGATTGATAATAAAAGAAACTAAAGAATTATTAAAAGTATACTGCTATCTGTCTCTTATTTTATTTTGGGAGCCGCTAATTAATTCTTTATATATTAGGGAAACTTAACTCTCTACCGCTATTTGTAAATCTTGGAATGCGTGTATACGTAAGAATAATCTATCGTATCGGAAATTTTAGATATTCCTTTAGCTAATTTACGTGAAATATACTTTCAGCAAGATGGGGAACATTCAGCAAGATGGGGAACATTTCAAAAGTAAAATATATCAATCCCAAATAAATTTTAATATGTGTATGACTATTTTAGTAATACCATTTTGATTTTTTGTTATTTATCACGGCCTACTAATAAGAAAATGATATATTTTAAATATTGCAGTAAATAGTGAAAATAAATATAGAGTGATATATATTTTTGAGAAGCTCGTAGCAAGACAGATCATATGATTTATAAATATACAGGGTGTTCCATTTGAAAAAACATAACTTTAGTTCATATTTTCAAAAATATTTTTTGGTAGAAAAACAGACTACGCCACTGTATTCTACGTAAAAAGTTCTACAATAAGCAGTTTTCGCCTTCTCGATACCTTTAACAATAACAGAGATACAGGGGGTGTCCCAAATTGCAAAATTTTTGAAAAGACCCTGTAGCTCAGAAATGAAGAGGGCTATGAAAATTTTGTTTGCAGCATCTTCCGTTTGACGAAACAGTGGGACAGGTTTGTGCAAACCGCACCCTTCTATCTTCACTAATAACGGAGATACCCTATGATTTCAACCAAAATGGGACACACTGTACATTACTTTAGTTTTTGCTAAATTCTTTTTGAGACCTACTTTATTGCTGGCTGTATTCAGTTCGTTAATTTGTGCTTGTAGTCCTTCAGGACTATTGGCAATTAGAACTATTATCAGCGAATCTTAGATGGTTAAGATATTCTCCATCTATTTCTATTCTTTGTTGGTCCAGTCTAGTTGCCGGAAGATTTCTTCTAGTGTTGCTGTAAACAGCTTTAGGGATATATAGTTCCTGTCGTGCTCCTTTGCCAGTTGGCAACTCTGGGGTTGTTTTATATATTATTACTCTTACTTTGGCTTCCTTGTATATATTGGCAAGAGTTTCTATATAAGGCATGTCAATAGCTTGTTTTGCTAGGACTTCCATTATTGTCTTAGGATATTATATTATTCAGTCGAAAGCCTTCTCAAAGTCTATAAAGGCTGTGGCTAGTGGAAGCTCATATTCTTTTTTTCAGCTGATAGTCTTGAACTAAATAACACATAACACATTAAATAAGTTAAGGTTGACAGGCTTTCTGCTATTTTAGCCGTAGATTAGTACTCATATACCGGTTTATCGTTGGGACAAATTTCGAAATGCCGACTTTGATATTTATGTTAGTTACATTCATAATTTGCTTTAATCGTTGTTAATGTTGGCATTATTCCACGCTCTAACGATTATTTGCCAGCGACCCAACCGTTATTTTTGCTTTCAGGAAAACATTACTTGTTTGTGGCTGTATATAAATTCAATTCATGGCTGGATATTTAATTAATTTAACTTAATGCAGAGAATAAGCATATATGTAGGGGTTAGGCCTTCATTTTTTGCTTCTTGTAATTTGTTTATTTAATTAATTACCTGTCCGTATTCCATTAAGGGCCGGTTAGACTCTCAGATAATTTGAGCAAACTAGTTTGCGCTAACCAAATTGTGCCAATAAATCATAAAGTTTGTGCAGTTCAAAAATTTGGCTTAAGTAAAATCTATCTCGTCTTGATTTTTAACTGAGGGTTAGTTTTAGATAGTTGGTACATGTGTTGGTTAACATCAGGCCAATAGATACAATAGATACAAGAACTCATCAATTAAGGTATATGAAGTAAAATTTAGGGTCAAAGCGTCCCTCTGTGTCCTTAGTCAAGACTACGTTTAACCCAGCGCCTTCGCCTTTTCTGCTGTAAATATTTTTTATATTTATATTTGAATTAAAAGGATTTATTTTTAAAGTTACTCTGGTATCATTAGTATGTCAGAGTAACTTTCATAAAACATAAAAATTGACAAATTATACAGTTTATTAAAATTAAATTTTGTGTAGAAGGTAATTAAATTACACCATTTTTCATTAAACTTACATAAATATATAAAACTAGCTGATGTCTGCCCACTTCGCTAAGCAAAAACATTTGGAAGATATATTTCTTTATATGTGGAATGTTTCTTTGACTAGTAACTGCATTGATTTATTTTTATAAACGAGATATTATTATATATATTTGAGTTTAAAATGTAATTAAACAATTTAAAAATTTTACCTTTTGATGTTGAAGACGGGGTGGTCCTATATACAGGGTGGTCCGAACTGTATTCCGGAAACTTCGGCAGCATATTCTGCAGATAAAAATAAGTAAAAATGTACAGATGTATGTCCAAAAATGCTTAGTTTCGGAGATACAGGGTGTAGAAGTTTCATTTTTATTTCGATTTTTTCCAAATAATTTCTGCAGTAACATCAATATTTGGATTAAAATTGGCGTTTAGGAGTTTTTGACATGAAAAATTTGATTTTGATGTCAATATGACTACTAGTAGAGGGCGCCACCTACATATTTTTTAACAGATTTGAAGAGTAATAACTTTTTGTCCGTACCTGTATAAAACTACTGAGTAAAAAAATATACATTAGCGACGCTTTCTACGTAAAAAAGGTCTCTTGGTAAAAATCGCTACAAGTAACGGTTTTCGAGATATTTGGAATCGAAGTTATCAATACTTGTCATCACTGACATAAATTAAACATGTTGACTAAATAGTTATTAGACTGAGATCATAAATTTGAAATGTTATTGTACCAAAAGTTCAACAAAAACTGTTTTATCATCATTTTTTTAAATAAAAAAAAAATTAAATATGATTAATTTAAAAAAATAAAAATTTCCCAAATTTATTATTTCAGTGAATCTACTCAACGCGAGACTCATCGTGTTTTTTTCGTCAATAATGGCATGTATTGACTATTGCCATTGTAAATATCTTGAGAACGGTTACTCGGAGCGATTTTTACTAAGAGACATTTTTTACGTAAAAAATCACAGAGATGTATATTTTTTCCTCGGTAGTTTTATACAGGTACGGACAAAAAGTTATTAAGCTTCAAAATAGTTAAAACACATGTAGGTGGCGCCCTCTACCAGTAGGTGTCATATTGACATCAAAATCAAATTTCTCATGTCATACAACTCCCAGACACCAATTTCCAAGTTATTACTCTTCAAACCAGTTAAAAAATATGTAGGTGGCGCCCTCTACTAGTAGGAGTCGTGTTGACAGCAAAATCAAATTTTTCATGTCTAAAAACTCCCAGACACCAATTTTCATCTAAATATTTACGTTCCTTCAGAAATTATTTGGAAAAAATCGAAATAAAAATTAAATTTCTACACCCTGTATCTCCGGAACTAAGCATTTTAGGACATACATTTATACGTACTTTTTTACCTATTTTTATCTGCAGAATATGCTGTCAAAGTTTCCGGAATACAATTCGGACCACCCTGTATACAGATGTCAATTCTGTTTTCAATCCAAAAACAAACAGGTATTTTTTCGACGCAGGTCCAAATTTAATAAAGCTATAAACTTTTTACTATTTCTCATTTACTAGTTGACAATTATGCCAAATACATTTAAAAGACGTTATATGTATTTTACAGGCAACCAAATAAACTGGTAACCTCTAAAAATTGTTTTTCCTACTACTAGCGACATAGATACCGTGTCCTTAGTCGATACTAAATTATTTTGTCAAAATTTCACCATATAAAGATTGATTCTCACTATACCTTCCGTTTCCATTCCATAACCATTCTATATCCGTCCCGTATTTTTTATTGTATTGACGTTATACATAAGCTTCCGTTCCGTATCAGTTCCATACTTTTTATTGTTCAATTTATATCATTACGAAAGTTTTATTTTAAAAATGTGTATCATTTGAAAAAGGTAATAGATTTAATTAAGAGGTGAAAGAATAAATAAATATCAGCAAAATGTTAACAGAGCTGTCACAAATGTAAGAACTTGACAACGCTGGGAAGGAAAAGATATAGAACGGAAGGGAAACGGAACGGATAGTGTGCATTGTCCTATACATGATATAATATTTTTTTTGTAAACGGAAGGGAAACGGAAGGGAGCTGATACGGAAGGTATAGTGAGAATGAACCTTTAGTTTCCTGGCCATGACCCTAACAAACCTTTGTCTTTCTAAATCAAGATAATTTATTTCAAATGTCTATTGTTATCAATATTCATATTTTAATTATTGTGTTTTAGGCTAGAAAACTTCTTCCCATGTTATGTTAATATTTCCGAACCCTCACGTATTTTCATCAAGAAGAAAACCGAAATATCATCCAGGGACAGCTGCAGCCCATCAGAGAGGAAAAATATATTTTCCGAATATATCGGGAAAAATCGGGAAACATCGAAGGGAGAAATGTTTCCATCATGGAAATGAAATGCAAATTTCCCGATTTCCATTTCGACCGCATCGCCAGAGAGAAATTTGCCAAAACCGCAGTTGCCTTCAGAGGAAGAAAAATGAGGGAAAGGAATATCATGTGTCGAAGGTGTGTATTATATGAATAAAAGAATGCTATATTGGTTATTGGAATATGTATGTTTTTTAAAAGGATGATATTTTTCTGTTTCTCTTTGAATTGTTAAATTTTTCTTATATCGGAATATAGAGTTAGTAGTTTAAAATTCTTGTCAAATAATATTTTTATAAGTAAATGTTCCCAAAACTGGCTGTTTATAGCAATACTAGAAGAAATCTTCCGTCAACTGGACTGGACCAACAAAGGAGTAAAAATAGATGGAGAAGATATTAACCATCTAAGATTCGCTGATGACATAGTCCTAATTGCCAATAGTCCTGAAGGACTACAAGCACAAATTAACGAACTAAATACAGCCAGCAATAAAGTAGATTTCAAAATGAATTTAGCAGAAACTAAAGTAATGTACAGGGTGGGTCAAATTCGACGCTTTTAAATGGAAACACCCTTTCAAATAGCAGATAGACGAAAACTAATATCGGTGTCTGGAGCTCAATTTTTATCAAAAACATGATGGTGAAAACCGCACATCAATATCTGTTACCGCTTCGGAGTTACGGGGTGTTTTTCAAAAATGTGCATTTTTAACAAATCGCTGTAACTTTTTTGCTACGGAAAATTTCGCATTTCTATGAAAAAATTTCCAAAGCACCTTTTTATGTAGAATTTAATGGTATAAGTATAATTTTTTTAAAATTAATAATTTAAGAGTTATCAATAGAAAAATTGATTTTTTATTTGGGGCACCCTCTATATTTTTAATTAACCGAAAAGAATTTAAAATTACCTTTCCAAAAATATAGCATACTTGATATTTTGTTATATTCCCCTTCGAAATACAGAATTTTTACTAGTAGGCTTTAATGGAACTCGAAAACATATTTTTCCAGGAAGACGAGGCACCGCCTCAGAACGCTGAAGTTATGAGCAAATTTTTGCAGCCAATTTCAAGAATAATTGAATAGCTAACCAAAATCCCAGCCGTTGGCCGTCGAGGCCGCCTAACTTAGTGCCCATGGATCTAATCCTATGGATATATTTGCGGAAGAATAAAGGTTCCTTATTCTTCCGTATAATCTAGACAAGAATTAGAAATACTTAGCAGTTATGAGAGGGTATTTTTCACCCCTACTGAGTTAATGAATTCCGCGAGAAATGTTCAAAAACTGCCCCGTCTGTCCATAACAGAATGTCGAACACCTGTAACAAAATCTCATACCTTGGTTTGCTATTTATTTTTATTGTTATCAGATATAGTTTTAATGTGTTGATGTTGGACCCGGACGACGGCAATGCTCCTGGCTGAAGAACATCAGAGATTGGACAGGCCTGGACTCACATACTTCTCTGAGAAGAGCGAAAAATAGAGAGGAATTTGCCATGGTTGTTGCCCATCTTCACTGAATGGAGAAGGCACTTTAAGAAGAAGAAGATGTTGGTTAAATATATTTTAAATTGATATAAAATTCTGCATCTCTCATAGCAAGTATTATTTTCGTTTTAATTGATGCTCACAGCTAGAATTTTTTAGCATTGCAGCCGGTGCCATTCAAAGCTTACTTATTTAAAGCGGGCGAATTTTTGTATACTGTATATCTCCAAGAGGAATCGAGCAAAATATCAAGTGTGTTATATTTTTGGAAATGTAATTTTAAATTATTTTCAATAAATTAAAGATATACAGCGTGTCTCATATAAAAAATCAAATTTTCTGTTGATAATTCTTAAATTATTAATTTTAAAGAAATTATACTTAAACCATTAAATTCTACGTAAAAAAGTGCTTTGGAAATGTTTTCATAAAAATGCAAAATGCAAAATTTTCCGTAGCAAAAAAGTTACAGCGATTTGTTAAAAATGCACATTTTTGAAAAACACCCCGTAACTCCGAAGCGGTAACAGATATCGATATGCGGTTTTCACCATCATGTTTTTGACAAAAATTGAGCTCCAGACACCGATATTAGATTTTGCCTATCTCCTATAGAAAAGGGTGTTTCCATTTAAAAGCGTCGAATTTGACCCACCCTGTACAACGAAATACTAGACAGCAAAGAAATTTTAATAAATATCACAACACAGGAAATTATAGTAGAACTAATATATTTGAGACAACTAATACACAGCTCGGGATCTCTACTATCAGACGATCTCAACAGAAGAATTAAGTTACTTGGATGTATGGAATACTTACGGAAGAAAAAAAAAGGAGAAAACATTCGACGAAATACCACGAATACTACCGAAACACGACGAATACTACCATTCATGATTTATGCATGCGAAACCTATCTTCTTCATGTACCGTCTCCATATCGGAGGCTGGCTATCATCTTTGCTATTTTGACCTTGGAAGCTGCGGCCCTAAATAGGTCAGATAACGTGACATTAAACCATTTTCGCAGATTTCTGAGCTAGGATATTCTTCTCCTTCCAACAAATCTTTTTCCTACAATGTTTCCCTGGACTATGGCTTGCAAAATCTCATACCTTGGACCTCTCATGATATGGCCGAGATATCGCAATTTTATTTGTTTCACTTCCTTGAGGATCTCTACGCCCTTCCTCATTCTTTTTAGAACCTCCACGTTGGTTACATGTTCTGTCCATGGTATTCTCAACATCCCACGGCATGCCCACATCTCGAAGGCCTCCAGTTTCCGCTCGCAAAGCTCGTTGAGGTACCATAAACGAAACCTATAAGAAACCTAAATATGGAAAACCTAAAAACTTATAAGGAAACTGCAGGTTGCACAACGCTCAATAAATGGTACGAATAATGCTGGGAATAACCAAGAAAGACCATAAAAGAATAGAGTAGATACGACAAAAGACTCATCCACAGAATAAAATCCCTCAAGTGGCAAAGAGCAGGACACCTGGCAAGAATGAGGGATAACAGATGGACCACAAAAATTACAGCATTGTACATACATTATGACCTCAAAACAGAAAAAATACTACTCGGCAAGGGCGTGAGACAAGGAGATACCATCTCTCCCAAGTTATTTACACTGGCACTGGAAAATGTCTTCAAGAAATTAGAATGGGAAAATAGAGGTCTAAACATCGATGGGGTACACCTCAGCCATCTGAGGTTCGCAGACGATATTGTCCTGCTGAGCACCGACATTCAAGAACTAAACACCATGCTAAATGAGCTAAATGACCAATCCCAGAAAATTGGCCTTAAAATGAACTTGAAGAAGACCAAGATAATGAGCAACAATATCCATAACATTACTGTTGACAACGTTATTATTGAAAACGTAGACCATTATATATATTTAGGTCATAAAATCAAGCTGGGCAAGGAAAACCAAAATACGGAGATCAAACGCAGGATCCATTTGGCATGGGTAGCATTTGGAAATATGAGCGATATTTTCAAGGATAAAAAGGTGCCCATGAACCTAAAGAAAAAGGCTTACGACAGCTGCATTCTACCTGTACTTACGTATGGCTTAGAGACTATGGCAATTACTCGAAAAACAGCAGTACAACTACGAGTAGCACAAAGAGCCATGGAAAGAATCATGTTGGGAGTCACCATTAGGGAAAAAATACGGAATACCCACATACGTCAAAAAACAAAATTAATAGATGTCGTTAAAAGAGTGGCAAGTCTGAAGTGGCAATGGATAGGACATGTGGCAAGACAGGATCCAGACCGATGGCCCCAAAAAGTAATCCTATGGAGACCTAGGGGAACAACAAGAGGTGTGGGCCGACCAAAAAAGAGATGGGTCGATGACGTCAGGGCAGTGGCGAGAAGACAATGGATAAGATTGGCTAGAGATCGCGAAGCATGGAAAAACCTAGAAGAGGCCTACATCCAACACTGGATGGAACCAGGCTGAGAAAGAAGAAGAAGTACATACGAGGAACACCCGTGAACCCTGGGGTACTGCTAAACAACAATTTACAGTTGAAATGACAAGCACCGTTAAAAGTAACAAAACGTAACGTATTTTGAATAATTTAAATATTATCTACCTTTATAAATATTCAAACATAAAAACACAACATTTCAGCAAATATACCTCAATATTTTTCAATTTGTATGTACCTTATAACGACAAAATAGATAAATTTTCTTTTATCAAAATATAGTATTGTTTGCTGATAAAGAAATGCGTGAAAATTTGTTAAAATTCTTTAAGAAAGGAGTAAAAAAAGTCTTTTACAATTAAGCTTGCTTTGAATTTGAAATTCTTTCAACGGATTCAAGAAAGAGTGTCGAGAATTAATGGAGCTAGCGGACTTGAATTAATAATGAGGCTTGGAAATCAATCATGGTATTTTTTATTTTCTTATAATAAATTGATGGGGGACGACAGGGTATGAAACCATAAAAAGATTTAGCAATTTTATTATTATATTTATAAAGACAAATTTATCGATTTGTTATAAAACTTTTTTATTGCTTGGGTTATAAAAGAATAGAAATAATAAACAGACGTTTAAGCAAAATTTATGTTTAGACTACTCTTAAACGTCAAATTACAGTTTTTATGTTTCGGGAAACTTTTGAACTTTGTTAAATAACAATATGAGATTCTTTCTGATGTTTTGAATGAAACTGACCAGTATATTCATACTTTCAATGAAAATCTATACTAATATATAAAATTCTTGTGACTGACTGGCTAATTAATCACGATCCTGCTCAAACCACTCAACGTAAGAAGCTCAATTTTGGCATACAGGTTGATTCTAGGGTGTAGAGGTTCGATAAGAAGGGATTTTTCGAAACTCGAATTCCAAGGGGGTGAAACTAAAAACTTAAAAAATTTCAAAATAAGTAAATAAAAACAAAATAAATTATGCGTGACCAAGCGTTTTCCCCAAAGACTATAGCCGTTTTTTAAATAACAAATATTGTGATATTTGAGGGGCGTTTTAACCCTCTTGGAATTTGAGATTCGAGAAACCCCTCCTTTTCGAACCTCTACACCCCACAGTTAATCCGTTTACCAACAATCAGCTTTAAACGTCAAGCAGTTTAAGCAGAATCGTGGTTACTCAATGGTCATATTTTATGAAACACCCTGTATAAATTTATAAAAAATCTTAAAATATGTAAAACAACAAAATAAAATATACGTGTTTAAGAGTTTTTTCCGAAAAACTCACCGGTTTTTAAATAAAAAATATTTTAATATTTGAGGGATTAGTTTCATCCCCTTAGAATTCGAGTTTCGGAAAATCCCTTCTTTTCGAACCTCTACACCCTAAAGTCAATCTGTTTACCAAAAATCAGCTTTTTACGTCAAGCGCTTTAAGCAGAATCGTGATTAATCAATGGCCAGATTTTTCGAAACACCCTGTATACATTTCTAAAAAATCTTAAAATATGTAAATAAACAAAATAATATATACGTGTTTAAGCGTTTTCTCGGAAACTTGGCCGTTTTTTAAATAAAAAATATTGTAACATTTGAGGGGTGGTTTCACCCTCTTGGAACTGGAATTTCGAAATATCCCTTCTTATCGAACACCCTAGAATCAACCTGTATGCCAAAATTGAGCTTCTTACGTTGAGTGGTTTGAGTAGGATAGTGATTAATCAGTATATCAGTCACTCAAGGATTTTATATATTAGTATAGATATGTTTTTTTAAATGACATTTTCTATACTTCCCAGTGTTACCCTGTAACTAATTACCTCAAAATCTCTTCCACTCCTGTGTGTAATTAAGCGAAAACCATTTAGCTAAGACCATCTCCTCACATCTCCCCATTATTATTCGGCAAGCAGTCTCTAACTTGAGAAATTTCAAAGCTCAATCCCAGGCACTAACGGCCGTTTTGCCCTACGAGTTTTGACTTAATTAAATGATATAATCTGCCAATTTATTTTTTTTAATTATTTTTTATTACCGCATGCATTAATTAAAATTCCAACGGATGTCTCTGGAGTGTTGTATTTTTTTTGTATGAAACATGAATATTTTTTTTTTGTTTAATAAAGGATATATTTATTTCTGTCTATTTTTAGCTGTGTGATAATGAGTAATATATTTTTGTCTATTTTTAGGTGGACTAAGAAGTAAATAGAAATGGACTCAATGAACTGAAATTAATTTCAGAAAAAAAGGGAATAGAAGCAAACGTTGCAACCTTAAAGGAAACAAAGAAGACGATAATTTAAATATAAAATAAAAATTTCGAAGTTTTTTAGGAGAAACACTGGATTATAATTAAAGGTAGTGTCAAGGTGTAAATTTTAGTGTCTGAGTATTTTATTTAACTCTTGTAGCACCAAACATTTTATGTACACTATTAATGTCCCATTTATATTGTTAATAACACTATACCATAAAGAAAAGGTAAATAAATGATAATTTTGGCGCGGTCAAACCCTAGACGTCATTACTGGGCCTATACTCTTCTGAAAGTAGTAATTTATTTCTATATTGAGTACAAATGATTTTTAAATGTTGTAATATTGTAATCAATATTGTAATTTTGTAGGTCTGGAAACGTTCTATCCTTTTTTAATCTTCTTGAATCTATAATTCGTGTTGACTTTTTGACATGTTTTTTAGTAAATGACGTGTAGGAATTGCCCTCGTCGAAATTATCATCCATATTCAATCCCCAGCAGTCTTTGACGCCGTTTTTTTTCGATCTTGCGTTAGTTTCTTATTAAGAAATATTTGGTTTGTCAAAATGTCACCTAATTTAAGCTTAAGCTGTTTATAAACTAAATTTAGTATAAAATGATTTTAAAAATGTAGTAAATAAATTTTGTCCAATGCGTCTGGGAAAATTTCGACAGAATATGACATCCAAAAAATGACAGAAAATACTCTTAAAGCTTAGTTTTTAATTACATTAAATATATGTAGGTAGCTGTCACCTTAAGCCGCTAGAAATGTTTATTATTGTTAAAACTTTTTTTAACATTATACGAATTTTGTGCCACCATATTCTTCATAGAATATATTCAAAATTCCGATGTTACTGTCATTATATCCTCTCGATGCACAAACTACTATTAGATAAATCGAAATGATGATAAAAATGGAAATATTATATGATCGAAAAAAAAACGGCGTCAGCGATGGCTATGAAATGAAGATCGATGTCATTTTATATGTAAAATTATATGGGGAATGTCATCGATGTTCATTTCTATGCCAACTGGACGCCGGTTTTTTTGCGATCATACTGTATTACTATGAACAGAATAACAAAAGCCTGTAAAAAACACAAAATTGTATTCTGTACATAGAATATCATTTTTGATTTTTTTTAATTTTAAAGACATACAATAAAGATGATTTTATACCGTTTTATGAATTAACACTGTGATGTCTGGGTAGGCTATTGGATTCTGTTAATATTAAAGATAATTTATATTATTAAAACAATTACGATAAGAAATGTATATTTATTTTTAGGTGGTGTACCCGAAAAATAAGAATGGATTTTACCAAGAAAATAAATAATACCAATTGAAGAAGAAACTAATAAGTGTAAATGAAGAATTATTAATAGAAGAAGAGAAGAAGATAGTTCAGAGATGGATTACATTTTATTTTACATTACCTAGTAAAATTCTATTTATAGAATGTCATACATTACATAAAACATTACACATGGTAATTTATTAATCAATATTTAGTTTGATGCTAGTCTAAGTACATTAATCTCAGGTCTATGATAGTAGTTATTTTTTATACAAGACGAAAAAATGGTATTTTATCGCTGACCGGGGGGAAAAGATTAATTCACGAGCGATGGAATCGCGAGTGAATTAATTTCGGGAGACAATAATGCAATTTTATCGTCGTGTATAAAACAATACTTTTTTCCATAGTTACGTTTTAAAAAATATTCAGAAGTTATTATTTCAAAGAATTTATTACGAGTAGAAAAAATATTGTGCTGTGTTGGCGTTGGTTTCTATGTAATTTGACAAATAAATAAAGCTGTCTCTTTAGTTGTCAGTTTTGAGTCAATATTTTTTAATATTTCGTGTCGATTGCTGATTGAATTAGAGCCAGAAATGGCTCAAAACGAAATAAGTAAATTACCAACAGACATTCAGGCTGAGGCGACAAACGCCATATCCAAACTACTTCCATTTAAATCTCGAATAACTTATGAAAAGGAATACAAACATTTTCAGAAATGGAAGCAATTAAAAAACATACGAGAAGAAATAAAGTTTTTAACCTATCCTCACTCTTAAAGTATCATTAGCCCTTGCGGTTAAAGTACTATTTTATCTACTATTTTTGACAGATATATGGCAATTTTAACAGTTGCTATGGAAAAAATATTATTTTTTTTGAATATTGAATAATGTACTGATGGTAGACTGGATGTAAGATTGTTATAGGAGGGTATCTTTCAATATTAACCCTAAGTCTTAGTTTTTTGGTAATTTTTGGTCGAGCAACCTTTTTTCGATCATTAGATTTGTAATAACTTTAGCTAGATGTTTAAGAAAGTCGATTTTTATAGCTTTGCTGTATAATAAACGCATTTATGGTGCTAACATAAACCGTTTGGAAAAAATTGTCGTCGCCCATCAACAAATATTTTCTAATACGTATTTATGGTAAATTAGTACATACCTAACTTAATTTTAATATATGTCTGTAATAAAACAAACAAATAAATAAGAAAAGCCATACAATATCCAAAAATTAATAAAACATACTTACACAATGGCTACACAGTAGTCCGGTAGACACCTCTCGAATTTCTATATCAATAAGTCAGCACTCTTTCAGGTATATGCATCCTCTTCAAGGTATATGCATCCTCATTACCACAATTCGTTTACAAAATATAGAGGAATGTTTAGCGCCAGGTGTCTGATAGAGACCACTTTGTAGCGGTTAAGGGTTAATTCAAGACTTCAAAAGTTTTTGCCCTTGGACAGAGTGTCTCATTTTGGAGACATACTTGGATCTTGTCGCTTATTAGTAAAATTAGATTCTTATGGTTTTCACGAGCCTAAGCTACTCTTTTGTTAAACCTCTTTAGTTTGCATGATACAGGGTGATTTTCTAAAAATATCGCAGTTTAATGCACCTCTCGTATCTCAGTTATCTGACAACTGAGATATCAAAAGTATAAACAAAGATTCTTTTAGAACTAGAATTTAAAAATGGTTAAGATGATATGGAAAATTTAAAAAATAATTTGCATTTAGAAAATATTTTAATTTGGTTTATTTGATTTTTAGGAAGTAATTTCCTCAGAAATCTACAGTATGAAGAGCGTTTTGTTCAAGATGGGTGGTGCTTCACGTTAATGCTCTACATCTACCCTGTAGATCCGAATTTGTTTGAAATTAGGCGACAAATTCGGTTCTAGAGAGGTTTGTGTGGTGCATACAAAGCAATGTGAAAAACAGAGAACCAAGGAGGACCGTAGAATAGTGAAAGCATTCAATTTTATTATGTAAAATATTTAAATGTTTATATATAATATTTAAATGTATGTAATGTTTGTTTGGAACTGTAATAGAATTAAGAAGTAGTAATAGATAGTAGTAACGAAAAACTGCTGGCAAAGTCTTCTAAAATAATCGTAATATGTAGATTTCAGCACAATTCATTATTATAGAATCATTCATAATAATTTTTTAATTTCAACTCTATATTTAATAATAAATATCTTATATTTTTTGTATAATATTAGTTATGTTAATTTATATGTGTGTTTGCATTGGAATTAGGCGAAAATATATTAATTAAAGGGTAAAATATTGTTTATTTTACATTATTTAAGGCTGATGTGTCTAGTTGCAATAGGCAAGAACAGTCCATCAAAAATATGGAGAATTATTTAACGAAGAATATTTCCAAAATTTACTTGAACGGATTGCTAAATCTATACATATGCTGCTGGAATTAATAATCTATATGTCTATAAGTCTATATGCAATAAAAAAATATATTGTTCTAATTAACAATAAATATAAACAATAATAACAGAACAAGATAACTTTATAGAGAATGTTAATATGTATAGATAATGGTGAACTATCTCCTTTAAATTTTTAAAAGGATTTGTTAAAAAAAGATAGATATAGTATATATTGTATACAACAGTGCTGAACTTTGAAAAAAATATAGGTTGTAAACAGAAATTTACAAATACTTTTATTCAGCAATCCCCAATAAAATAAGAAATACAAAAGACTATTATACTTAACTATATTTTAAAACTTTAGAAGTATTGATGAATTATATTATTTTTAATTTTTGTATTTGCTGTTAGTAATATACTACTACACTACATTTATTCCAATAGTTTTGTTTAAACTTCTTCGTATATTAAATAAATAAATAAAAAATTATGTTACAACAGATACGACAACAGAGCAGTAGATATTGTTCACTTAAATTCGCATAAGTATAAGGACTAAGAAAAAATTCAAAGTAATTGTTAGAAAATAATTGACTAAAATAAATAGGTGCTCAAAAATAGGGGCATCGTATATTTTAAGAAGCTCTAAGTATACTGCTTGTTACTAACAATTATTATATTCAGAGGTTAGAATTAGAATTAGAATAAGTGGGAGGGGGGTTAATCTCTGCGACCTTAGAGATCTATTGTGTCCCCCTTTCTTGATTATATAACTCATCATACAGTCCTAGGACTTCCTACGGAGACCGTGTCCCTCACAGTCGAGGAGCTACGACCCAGGCCGGGTAGACGAAACGGTAGCTTGTGTCGCCTGTTGGGTTTAGAGGTAGGAGGTAGGCTCCCGACCCTTGGAGGAGGTGGTAGCTTGTATGCCACTTGCGGAGGATGGTCTCACGCAAGTGTCAGCCACCTCTCCTGTAGTTCTCTGTGGGTTTGGCCCCTTGGAACTTTCATTATTACTGTTCCCAGTGTCGTTAGGGGGTTTCCCCACAGCTTCACCGGTGATGTTTTTATTACTATTATTATCAGATCTCATAGTGTTTCTATGAGTCGCTAGGGACAGTCGGTCTACTTCTACAGAGCCCCGCATGTAGAAGTAAGGGGTAAAATACAATGGGGTGCCCCCCGGTGCCCCAAGGTTGAGGCTGTCCGTAGCCCCGCCCGGTATCGTTATATGTCTTGGTACAATTCCCTGGCCACGGCACTACAGTTAGGGACAAGACGATGAGTGAGATGCTTCTTAAACCAAGCCAAGTGCTAGGGGGGATTCCCTCCAGCACCTGACCAGGAGCTTCCCCACCAACGACAAGGTCTTGCATCTCATAGGGGAAGTATTAGTATCTATTCAGAGGTTACATCAATATTATTTGTATAATTACTAGGTATAATATTTTGTAATAATTATGCTTTATAAGCAAGTATTAAGACATTATAGTGGATTGAAAATTTGATTTTAGAATCGTGTGATGGACAAAATGGCCAAAGTGTTCAAAATGTTTGTGGTTGTCCGTTACTTTGAGATAAAACATTCTATATCAGTAAAACATACTTTTCTTTGTTAACTTATTTTATAATTTAGATCTTAGAGATTAAAAGCAAGGCTATAAATCATGAATAGATTAATAAATAATATGGAAATATAATATAAAAAGAGCAATATATATCAAATTTAAAAAATGCGTCCATTGATCCCAAAAAGACCTGGTTTATAAATACAAAGGCCAAAGCAATAACGAGCCAAAGCAACAAGACTTACAGTCTTATTGCTTTATCCTTTGTATAAATATACAATATGTAATATGTACAATAACGTATCTATCCTGTAAAGAGTGTTTATATCTAAGTGGGTATAGAACATTTCCTGGGGGTAGGATGACATTGTTGAGTATATTTATTAAAGATAGATTGATTTTGAATTGCTATTACTTTAATTTTAATGGAGATTCATCCATCCTTCCATAATCCATTCCAGAAGAGAATAAAATAACTAATACGTTTTTTTGAAATATTATTAACAGAAAAACGAAAGAATCATTAAAGGAAAAACTGTTTATTGAAATAATTAAATAGTAAGAATACTAGCTATTATTAATTTTTAATAAGAGTGATCTTTAGTTTTACTCCTTTAGTTGATTTTTCATTTTAAAGTAACTTTTTTGGTGACTATGTTTTGTGATATTTGTTTTTTTATTCGTCTGTTTTTGGAATTCAACATACACTACTTATATACAGAATGGCCCATCGAAAACGTTCCGCAAGGCATAACGGCCAGGATATTTTTTTTTTTTTCAAAAAATCCAAAAACACGTCAATTTTGTCTGTGGGGGGGACAACTTTTGCCCCAAAAATGATTGCAAAATCTTCAACCCTCTAAGCGGGGGTGTCATCCCCCAACTTTTTTCAAATGGGAAGGGGGGTCAAGTGTACCGCAATGAAAAGGGCTTTTTATTCTCTATACTTTCTCGCTTCGTTTTTGAAAATCGGTCGAGTCATTGAGAAAATATGAAGGATTGAAATTTGAAAAGTTTATTTAAACATTTATCAGAGTAAATGATAAGGATAAATTCCTTCGACCAATTTGCTGTTTTTTCTTATTATTTCTAGATGTTTACGCATTTTTGCACTTGCCACAAGGTTGAACGATCA